AAAGTCATCTGAGGTCTCTCCACTCAGCTGCACCCTCGCTCGCATACCACTGTGCAGACATTCAATTAAATTTACAAACTTACGCGGGCAACCAAACTTACCCAACACCAGCCACAATGCCTCGCGGTTCACCGTATCAAATGCCTTGGTGAAATCAACAAAAGCGAGTACAATGGCTGTTGTCTTTCTCTGCACTTCTCCTGCAACTGACGAGCCGAAAACACCATATCTACAGTGCTGCGACCCGAACGGAATCTACACTGCTCTTCCGCCACGTTAGTTTCCACCACCCGACTGACGAGGCGGTTGAGCAGGATTCTGGAAATCAACTTGCCCACACAAATCAGCAAGTTGATGCCACGATAATTCGTGCAACATTGCTTGCTACCTTTGCCCTTGTACAATGGTAGCACAAGGGCATGCTTCAGCTCAGGAGGCACCTCCTCCTCAATCCACACGCGTTGCACCAAGTGGTGCAGCGCAGTCAACAACGCTGGTCCACCGTGTTTCAATCCTTCAGACGGGATCCCGTCAGCCCTTGCACACTTGCTATTTCGCAGCTGAGCAAGTGGTCTCTGTGTCTCATCCAGTGTCGGCGTGTCCGTCAGACTTGCCTGCACATCGTGCTGTTTGAGGCCGTTCAATGCAAGCCAGTCGATCTCTGAACGGTTGTTCAAGAGACAGTCAAAGTGTTTTCGCCAGATCTGCATTATATTTGCAGTCTGTGTGCAGGTAACGCCTGAGCTACCCTGGATCAGCGTCCTTAGCAGCTCCACTCTCGGTCCATACATCGTCTTCAAGGAGTCAAAGAATTCCTTGTGTTGGCGGCGTTGGGCGTAGCATTCCATCTGCTTCACATACTCCGTCCACCATGCATGTATATGCGACGGAGCTCTCGGGTCAGTCGCCGGCGAAGTTTGCGCAACTGACTACTCTTCCCTAAGGCATTGGAGTCTGCCACATGTGCAGCAAATGTTGCATGCTTCTCTGACACCAATGCGCCAATCGTCGCATTGTTCTCATCAAAGCAACCAGGCCGTTTACCGTTTGTGTGCCCGATGGTCTCCTCGGCAGCAGCTGTCACCTGATCGCGAATGTGGTGCCACAGGTCGCACACTGTGGCTAAAGAGTCCACATTACACAGACATGCAGCCATCGCCTTCTCTAGCACAATACTTTTCGCCACAGTACCGAGGGAGAGAATGTTAAATTTACTCCGATTCACGGTGGGAGTGCACTACAAATATTCACGAAAATATATGTACAGATCGGTCCGCACCAATTTGTGATCAGTGCCACACTCAGCTCCACGCAGTATACGTGTCATGCGCAGTTCACGCTGACGCACGATGACATAGTCGAGCAGGTGAGCACGATCACACCGTGGGTGCGTCCAAGTTGCTATATCACTCGCACTCATTGAAAACCGAGTGTTCATGATCGTCAGGCCGTGATTGGCACATAGTGCGGGCAGCCTGTCACTGTTCGCGTTCACTAGACCAAAGTCGTGCAGACCGATGACCTCTGTCCACACCGGTGCATCACACCGAACGCGCGCGTTGTAATCACTCAGCAGAAATAGTCAGTCGCTCCTCGGCACAGACCGTATCACGGAGGATAGCTCAGTGTAGAACTGACCACGCGTGTCGTTAGGATAACACATGGTCAGCCCTACGTGCTTATAAAGATGGCAAACTTGACACTCGAGTTGTAGGTAAACAGTCATTAGTCGCGCGCTGATGCGTGTTGGTTCACCCACGAGCTGGCCATGGGGGCGATCGGATATTGCAAATCCGACCCCATGTTCACGTGGTGCTGAGGGGGCGTTGCCCACCCACTAGAATGTGCAGCCAGCATCTGCTTCATGAAACTTACCTTACTCAGCGTGTCGGGCTTTACTGAGCATGCAATATCGATATGGTAGCGCGCCAGTTCCCTCGCGACCAGTACAGTGCGTCGTTCGGGGTGCTCACTCAAGTACCGGTCCAGTAATGTGAGCACGTTCCAGCACCCGATGCTGAGTGCTTTGCGCGCAGGCATACGATTGCATTGGTGGGCAATCGCACGCGAGGTGGTCGTTGTGCTTCGGAGGTTTGCTTGAGGGGTTCCACCCGGAGTCTTTGGCTCAACAGCCTGACCCACAAGGCAGTGGGTTATTTGGAGGTTTGCTTAAGGGACTCGGCCCGGAGCTTTTGGCTCATTAGCCTGACTCACAAGACAGTGGGAAGGAGGTCCAGCTCGGGAATGTGATTGCAGAGACAGATTGGGATCTGCTTGACGGCCGTCACACGCAACCTTTGTGGTACTGGAACGATTGCTATAGGTTTTGCGACCGTCGTAGGATACACTTGCGACCACGGCCAGACGCAGGTGGGTTTTGGCAGGTTTGCACCAATTTGACCAGGGGCTGTCTGGCTTGAGGCGGGCAGTAACAAACCATTGAACACCCGGAGGTACCCTCCCACCGTCAGAGACAATGCGTGGCGTTCGCGCTTAACGCCAATCGAGCTGTGAGCTTATAACCCGCAGACCTGTTGTCTCCCATTGCTAGGTTTTGCGGGAAGAGGGCCATCGACCACTTCCTAACCTCCGAGGATGATGGACTAGGGTACTGGCAGGGCGCCCATACTTAACAGGAGAATGACTCGGGTTCACAACCAAAACCTTCGATTAAATGTACACACGAAAGACAGCGCGTCTAGCACATGGTCAGTTTACTGACTCATGCGGATTGGTGTCCTGGATCTTAGCAGGTAGAAGGGTGTAACCCAACTCCAACTCATCGGTCGCCACGAGGAGGAGTCCAGGACATGAGCCAATGGCACAACAAAAGCAGCAGTAGGTAGACCATCTGTCAGGATCTAGTCACCACTAGTTTTAGAGCAACATAGGCTCTCCCGCCACTGAACCGGTTTTAATACAGACATTGGCTACTTGTGATGATAACGCACTCCCGTCGTGTGGCTGGTGGGGCTGTGGATGACGAGAGATGTTGTGTTTTATCGCTCCGCTCGGGCTGTACTTGAAGGACCGAAACATGCTGGAAAGGCTTTTATCCCTAGGAAATACAAAGAGTCTTGCTGCACTCTTCGCGAGTGCAGATAAGTTGCGCACCCTTCAAATGCCATCGACTAGATTAACAGTCTCAAGAGAGCATTACTCGTAGCAGGAAGAGACGAGATAGACCAGAGAGGTCAATGATCAGTCACATATTGTGGATGAAAAGCCAAAACTTAACATGTCCCTCAACGTGTTAAGTGTGGATTTTTGGAAGAAAAGGAAAATCTACTGAATAGCGGAACCGAAATCAGCCAACCTACTGGGAAAGGTGTTGTCCGTCGGGATGGTTCACATATGGTTTAATGCAATTTAAAATGACACCGATTTCGGTAATCAAAAATCGCGTGTGGGTTGATGCAGTTTCCTTTTTTTGTACGTATGACTTATATGTTGTGACGTGGCAGACATTGTTGTTGCGATCGTTGAACGCAACGAATTTAAAGACCAGAGCAAAGGAATCCGGGACTGAATCCCATACGTGGCAAATAGGTGGCGAGATTAACCTCCTGCACTCCGGCTGTCTGTACTGTCAGTTTGCGACTGTGGCCTTTCAATCTGGTGTTATGGTTTCGCTTTAGCAGCGGAAAGCACGATTGCTTAGAGTTGCTTAAAATCTGGTAAACCACGATAACTTCACTACACAGAAGCCGATAGCGTCCACTGATGACTCCAAAAATACTCTGGCGCTGTTGGTAAGGTAACTGGTGTAGGCCCTTGATACCTTTGGTGGCCCGACTTTGTGGAATTTCCAAGACAATGAGATCCGATTTCTGCCATGGCTGCCATACCTGAATGTCATATTCCACGTGTCAAACGGAAGACCTACGAGAACTGCATGAGTCATTTGTTTTCATGAAGGTTACAGGTGTGCACGCAAAAGACCTCCAATTCGAACTGCCTAGGGTAGACGGTCTTCGTGCCAGTGCTGGGCGCAAAACCGATTCCATCACGGACGGATCGGGGCGTTACCGCAGGCCTGTGTACGTCTGGCATGCGTATTTCTTCCAGAGTTACATCACTGTTGGGCATGTCTAAATAACGTAGATCGGTTCCGAAGTATGTGTTTCCAATTCGCCTCCCTTTCGATACCATTAGTTTAAATGCAGAGTGGAACTGAGGCGTTATGCCTGGTGCACGTCACCAGCAGCAGTTGTCCTGTGGATATATGTAGTCACAATACACTTGCACTCCAAAACGGATGCTGACCATCATGTGTGAAATACGGGTCACCACAAAACGTATTCGTTGAATGTTTACGTTGATGATCCGATGCCAGTGAGTACTGATCTCACAGACGTTCACACCCTTTGACATATTGCTATCCGGGATCATGGACAGCATGGAATTGGATGGTCAGCCAAGTCTCTCTCTTGGTCGATAACACTATACTATCTTATCCCGCATAGGACACAAGCGAAGCTGTGACCATCCCGTGCACAAATTGAAACCTCTTTCATTTACCAACTGTTAACACGTCGAGTACACTTCAGCATTCGTTTAAGTCAAACAGTCCGCGGTGGGCAGCTGGCAACTTCATTTGAAGCTGGCTAGACCTTCAATAGGTACCCACCCCGTACCGGTGCTTAAACAACCTGTCAACGTGGTCTGTTCCCAACCTTTCCTATGCTTGGACAATCCATAGATCCCTAACCTGATTCATAAGGTGTGCCCAGATGGTTTGTTAGGTATGGGCAGTATGCGATACCAGGAACCCAGCTCGTACCGGCGATGTGTATCTGGCAGATTAATTATCAGTGCAGAGTAGCGGTGTCACATGAAGCGAAAATGGTTCCCGGATATTTGAAGATTTAGTGCTGTAAAAACACTGTCTCAAAGTATCTCGTGTTCTCCAATAAATCATGTGAAGGATCCTCCCCTTGCCTAATAGTATACTGTTTAGTTTTCCAAAATTTCTGACTAATTCCACCGTTACTTTCTAGATGTGAGTTCATTGTGCGACTGGCAACAGGAAAGTAGCACATTTGCTTCCCGACTAGCTGCTTGGTTCCTAGAGCTGTTACGACAAAAGGTGAGTGAGTTATTCTTGAATCGGTTACGTAATAATGACAGATGCCTAGCTGATGATATGCACTTTCGAAAATATTGGCCTACCGAACATTTATACGGAAGTTGAGAGATATTGTGAACTCTATCCTGGCTGTCCGGAAGTCGACACACCACTTAATATCACTGATGGATTTAGTTTGTGTTTACTTCCGATTGCTTGTACCGGACTTAATTCCGGAGGAGATGGACTTTTCTGATGATATGTTGGGTTACATTCCTAACATTATGACAAACCTAGATACATACCTGTAGTCCTTTTGGTGAACGAAAGCCATAGGTGAAACCGGTAACCCTGATAACGCTCTGGAATATATACAACCTATAGCAGTATACTTCTTGCTATCTAAATCAGAGATTAACCCCTACTGCTTGTATCCAAGATGCACAGAAAGCTCTTTTGACAAGGGGATGTGTCCATGCATTAATGTAGGCTAGCTGCTGGTCAACACACCATTTTCGATCTCTCCATTGTTTTGGAGACAGCAAAATGCCCAATTCATGGTAACCGTAGCGGCTGCGGCAACGCCATTTTTGTCCCCACATCGGCTCACTTCACGCGATCAGTGCGTCAAGCTCAACCTAGGGTAACAAAACCGAACCGTGGTTTGAAAAAGGTTAATAAAGTAGCAGCACCATAGTCCGATAAATGAGTTCGAAATCTGTTAGTGTAACGGGTCCTGAGAACCCGGTGCAGGAGGACGACACACAGGACGTTGACCTAACCTCGCTGTCACTTTATTCATCTACCTTTGCTACACAATTAACCAGTCACTTTGTGACCAGGGAACTAAGCGCACCACACACAAATAATGCGGCTGGATGGAAGTGGTCACCAGAAATGCGGAAAAACGTTGACTGACGGCGTTCAAAAGGCTGTCCCACGGTGTACCAGAGTTTATTGCGAAGCATCAGCGGCAGAATGCCAGCGTCACTAACTCGACGCATCTGCCAGGTGTGGACAGCCCTTCGCGGACATCGATGTTCAACACGGTGTCTTCTTGTGTCCTCAATGAACAGTAACCATGGCTCCAATTGGTATGACTAACTGCAAAAAGCGTTGTACAGCCTAATTTCGTCAGACAATATTGTGTCTCGTGACTACAGCGTATTCAGCTAAAATTTCATAACTGTTTTTAGCTCAACCAAGACAACCGGTTTCTGCCCTGCGATGTCAACGTCCCGATTTCAATCTGATGTAGGTTAAAGGTTAAACTTAACACTACTCATTAGGAAAGTAGTAGCTTCGTTATTTTCATAACTGCTAACCTTGCGAGCCACTCGCTACAGTCCGATGTATGTACCTCATTGAATTCCTTAGTATTTCGACTAGAATTCCATGGCTTCAGACATTAGATAGGCGCGTTCACGTGTTATTGCGTTTGGGGACCGGAAGATGTGTGGGGCGACGAGCTACAGAGCAGTAAATTGCGGGCTTCGGCCAAGCAAATGAACAGTTCATTGGAAGAATACTTAGCCGATCAACAATGACGTCTAAGCGGTCAGGTTACTGAAAAGACTGGTAATGGTGACCATACGTTGCAGGCGCATTTCACCACACCGACAGTATTAGTGCAGAGCTAAAAATGACAGAAAACGAAACACTTCTGCCTGATACTCATAGATTTGTCTCAAAACCCCGTCCTCTAGTCACCATGGCGGTTCTCGTGGTGAACTTCTCATGTGTTAACCGTGGCGTTGCAATCACAATTCATGACCAGACATACTGGGGAAAAACAGCTACTTGGAACCAAAAACTATCAAAGGCGGACACACCGTATCAGGAATAGAACTTTGTAAGAATATCTAAATTCATTCAATATACCATGTCCTGTGTTTTGGTGCGTCTACCACGTAGTACGTGGAAACGAAATTCCTGAAAAGGTACTAGCATGGTGTTTGCAAACTGTGGAATTCGAATTCCACAGTTGGACTCACTTTCAGCAATGCACAGAGATTCGGCTAGCGAATTGTTCGGAACGTTTGCTCAGTGATGTGGACAGTAAAATGTGTGCGCGTAGGTGTTAGTTACGAACTTGGCCCCAGGTGAAGTATATGCTCGTTGTATAGTACAACACAAAATGTTCTCACAATGAGCAAAAAGCAACATATTTTGGCAATACTAATTGGTTTCCCATAAAGAAGCATCACAGAATGATAAACAGATTTGTGAAGTAAAGGCTGTCTAGATCACGAGACAGAACGGAGGCAACCCGACTGTAAATCTACTAGCATGTACTGGACGCTAGTTTAGCTCATTGCGTTACTGTAGAGCTGACAGCACACGCGTCCGTCTTTACCACCTACATGCCAGAAGAACCAACCAATGTACCAACAACGGCTTTTAAAATAGGACGTAGTTCTACCAATACTACCGCGGTACTTATGAGGTCGTCTAGTAACCAAGTGAAGAAGGCAGCCCCACATGACAACAAAAGGTGTACGCCAGACAACAATAGAACTCTGACTGTTGTATGACCTAATGCGCCTGAAAATGAAGCAAACTCGATCAAAAATAAACTGCTAGACGTTCTGAACCAATAGAGCAACGGTTTATAACGAGTTACGATGTAATCCTTGAGATGTTCTGTCGGATGGTTGGGGTGAATATTACAAGCCGAAATACAGTGTGAAGAACGCATAAGTTATATGATTCACCAAGAAGTTCGCAGTTTCGCAGATGTGAACATTCCTTCTGAAGTTTTAGGGAAGTCTGATTTAATCCAGTTTGTTGTGCTCTAAAGTCGTCACTTGATAGTCACGGGCCAAATCATGGTTTATATGTGTCAGCGTTGTCAAGCAGTCTCTTGAGCAATGATAAGGTGGGAGCATTTATTACATGCTTTGGTACTGCGTTCCAGGGCTAAAACACTCGGATGGAGGAAAAGTGTCATCGATATTCGAGTCACTTATACTGCGTAACCGGCTTAAACTGATCGCGCCTCAGAGATGTGTTTAGGCTGTTTCAAAAGATAGTGGCAAGTGTGGTTGGGGTTTTAGGATCTGACACACCACTATAAAATCACCTCATAACCGCCGATAACACCCGCGGTACACTCATAAAGTTTACGGCCTTAGTTGATAGGGAACATGGGACAAACCTTTGTTTTTCGTCACTCCGCGTTGTGCTGTCTCGAGTGCCAGTGTTGCGACGCTTAAAATGTGTATTCCACGTGTGGCCTCAAGCGCGCTCCAAGCATTTTCGGAGCTTCCGAACTACCCACACAGGAGATCAAAGTGCTGATTTAGCTTCTTTGGTGCATGCACTGTCTGCCTAAAACAGCCAAGCTCACCTTGCATGAGCGCGCCGGGATCCCACTTATGAGAAATGCGTTGCATAACGTGACCCTAGCCAGTAGTTGTGAGTGATCCGATGGCGTGTGTCCAGTACTCCGCAATTGGCCACGTTAAACTGAAGCATGTTCACGGTGGACTATGCATAGGCTTTGTCCAGATCACTTTGCAAGCCTGTGTGGTCCTCCATTGTAGTGATAGCACGCATTATATTTAGATCGTCGGCCAATAGTAGGAAACATGAATAGAACTCTCTCGTGAGGCCATTTAGGAAAACTAGAAACAATCATGGTCCGAGTAATGAGCCTTGCGGTACACGAATCGGATAGGGTGCTGCTAACCCTCTTCTTCATATGACGTTGAACGAAAAGTGCGCCTATCCAGCCCAGAGCAGGATCGCCGTTTCCGTACTGCCAAATGTTACCCATCGTGTCCAGTTGGCTTAGGTGTAGTAGTCACAACTAACATCTCAAGGATCCCGTCTTCGGTGCCTGCTATCTAGATCTGATGAGAGTAAATAAGCTTGAAACGCGTCACGGAGTGCGGTGTTTTCTGGTGGACAACACACAATATCTGCCTTCTTCATATTGCAAACTTGTCAACTAAACATATGGCATCCAACTAAAATTCCTTTGGATGGATGTCATCTGTACGAGTGTAACTGTACTCGTGCATGGAGGTCGGATACTTTAGTATATTCGTGGTAGTAAAGTGAGAGCGGTTAAGCCTTGATGTAATGTGATCTCAGGAAGGTAAAATGGCAGTATGCCTTGGAAAGTGCAGCAGAATGCTTGTCAGAAGTCATTGGCTACCTTTTGTGTCGTTTGCGCTAACCGACACCGTGTCGAAAGGGAATTCTGCGTTTGACTCTATGAATCTTTTCGTCATGTTTTAGAAGAACGAACCAACCGAGCCTGATTGACCGAACATCAATTCAAGCTGCTCTAGGCAAATGTGCAAAGCCGCCGCGTTCGAACATAACGCCATCTGAGATTCAGTGCTGACTTACATTAGTGGGTGGAAGTAGTCGCGGGACCCGACACATCTTCTGGAGATGGAAGTGTTGTACAATTATGTTCATTTCATCTAGGCAGGTGAAGGCCTTCCTTCAGCAACAGTAAATACAGCCTGAAGTATCCCAGCGTCAATTACTTGAATTGCTGTCACTCAGCTGAACATCCAAATAGTTTGGAAACACTCCAGAGCTGACTTTGCAGGAAATTACATCGGAACGCTAGAGGTTGGTCAGCTTGAAAAATAGCGCAACAACGGTGGCAACTACAGATTTCAGAGAAGAACCTCACGTCTGTTGCGCAGCTGTTCGCTGTCAAAATACCAATCAAGGTGCGTTGATTAGGAAGCCTCGGATTACGTGTTTGAGAGTGGTCAGTTGCACTCTGCGTGAAATTGCGTGTACAGAAATAACCATTGCAATTTGGGGCACAACTTCATACGCGTCATTACTCCAAGGTTGAAGGCACGCCTCAAAAGGACCAGGCTTCACAGTGCTGTAACGAAAGCGAATCCTGCATTATTTTGTACGGGATTTTTAGGGAAGAAAAAACCACTAACAGTGAGACGCGACTATGTTCCGGTGTCGCTGCAGTCAGAAAGGATCAGTTCTAGGTCTACTTGAACCGACATTGACAATATATCAGTTAAACCAAAAAAACGGTCAAGAATGCCTCAGGAAAACTGTTGAAACTAGACGGATTGATCACATGTGAACACGAATTCAAGGATCTGAAGCTCACTGAGACCATCTACAGCCTACGCTACCAGTATTATTCTGCCCGGAGTGGAATGTATTCAGAAGTTGGAGTCTGGCATACACACGAATAGTAAAGTGGATGTTCGCGTGGGTTACAAGGAAAATGCTATAGAAATTGCAGTAACGAATTCAACAATGAGGTAGAATGGATCATCCCATAAGCGTAGATCAATTGTAGATCACTAGCAAATCTGATCTGAACAGAAGTAAGCATCATTATGTTCGCCGAGATTATGGGTAGTAAATCCGCGAAAGAGAGCAGCGTCAAAACAATGTGACTATACGAACACAAAGTCGACGATGTGAACCTTTGTGTCAAGTGAAGGGAATCTAAGCTAAACCGGTCAGTATGATATGCCTCGTTCACACTCCAAACGTGAAACGCTACGGGGAATCACGGCTACTCCAAATAACGCTTCAGTCAGGAGATACTGCGGAGACCGTTCTCCTGTCCGTCACTCAGCCTCGAACTGTCCCATGCACTAGTTGTGTATTTCCAGTTGTTCCTTGGAGCGAACGCAGAGATGCAAACAAAATCCGGATGACTATCGCAAAACGGTATCTATACACAATCGTCCCGAGCCTCAAGAGGAATGGAACTGTAATTACCTCACTGGGATGAATAGCGCTTCTTTCATGGAGTGCTCGCTGTGGAAAACAATATCACCAAACCATCTCAAGGTTTCCGTTGCAACCCCACTACAACGGGTTTGGTGCGCGAGTGATGCAAGGTACACAGCCATATAAATGCATGGCAAAAAATGCTCGAACGGTGGCAAAAGAGGTGCAGAGTGCTGCCATCTAATATACATATAAAGATAATGGACACCCGGCCACAACTGACATTAAAACAACAAACAAGTAGGGTTGCTTTTCTACTCCATCAGCATGCAGCTGCGAAGCAAAATGCAAGCAAAACCTTCAGATACTGAGCACTCAATACAGTTACCTGGAATACCCCGAAGTTTACCTCTGCTGTCTATCAAAAATACGACTGGCAACGGATACTATAAGGGTAGGCATAAACTCTCAACAGTAATCTGCATCTATCTCTGCGCTTCTGAACTCCGTGACACTTGCTTGCTTGCATACCAGCGCACAAGTTCTTCTTAGTAAGCTAACAGAGCTTCGTACTTGTCAGGTTTCAACTCTTTGAGACTTGTTATGATAACCGAAACATGACTGAATCCTGAGACCAGTGAGGCCGTCAGATATGAATACTTTATGAAACGATCCACCCAGTAGAGGAGGCTGGATGAAGGAAGGGCATCAGTAGTACGCCTGCACAGATTGCTGACGCTTCGCTGCCACGCCACCATCGCCAGTCGCATTTGGGCTGGGTATAGGGCGAGATTGTCCCTACCTTCATGGAGTGGAACCGGTGACCTCAAGATTACAAGGCACACACCTTATCCTTTCAGCTAACGGCCGGGGATATGGGGGACCCAGTATTGCCACCTGGACCTACACATTGATATTATCGGCGACCCAGAAGCGCAATTTATGGATGCGCTTGCGTCTGTCTGCACCTGAAGTCGTGAGGTATGTTTATCAGCAACTGAAAATGTCCAATATGCATCTTGGAACTAGATCACCTTGTTGCTTCTGCGATGAAGTGATCCCTGTCTCAATCATACAGTAACGTCCATTTTGTGGAGGAGTTCAACTTGTACACTGCGTCAGCTTCTTCCAGTAAGCAATTGACTATCGATTTGCAGGAAATAATTGCCATCCTACAGCTTAACAACCATGTTAGTTCTCACACATCATGCAGAAGTGGTGATGAACTTTGTCTTAGACCTCGTGTTCACCAATGAGGAGAATATGGTTGATACTGTAAAGATAGATGCACCCTTTGGCAATAACAATCATGCTAGGCTGCCCTTCGGTTAAACCTTGTATGCGGAATACCTCAGTGACAAAGTATATCTTGGCCATCACCCATAACGACATTTTGTTTGACCTTGTTCAGGCAGTCAACTGGGTTTTCCCATCCGACAATCTTCCGATGTTGCTTGGATGGAGTTTGTCACCTAACTCAGTTGGCTAGTGGTAAATGCGTCCGGAGACAAGATCGCGCACCCGTGGCAAACGAGTTCATTCTTGACGAACCGGACCCGAAAATAGATGGCATTAAGGGACGGCTTGGCGCGCCCCCAAAGCCTCTTCAACCAAACACGCCTTGAACATCCACATAACTGAAAGGGAACCATTGCGTTAATTTGGTCAGCGGAGATGAGCGCAAGCGCTAATTAGATGTAGCGATGGAATTAATCACAAACCCTAAAACGCTTTACAGTAACGTTAATAAGCTAAGCAGAGAGCAGCGCGGAGTCCCAACTGTACGTACGGCAGATGGTCTAGGGCTAAATATACAGATGGTGGCCAAAGCATTTCGGCAACAGTTCATCCGTAGTTTCCAGAGTAAATCGTCACCTTACTCGCCTCTGACACAGCTCACAGTGCTAAGCCACGTGTTATTCACTGCAACGAAGACGGTGAAAAGACTGTTGTCTTTGCGCGTGCGCAGCTCTCCTGGTGTTGACAACCTCCTTGAACATCGCCGAAACGTTAGCTAGGTTTTTCCAAAGATACGTTGATGAAATTCAGGTTGCAACAATGCGAACACGGAACAGTCACTACTGATACAAGAGTGGCAATCGTGTAGAGCCCTCTGGCTCCTGTCCAATAATTCGCCTTCCGGTACTACCTGAACATATGGACGGCGTTATCGCAGAGGCTCACATGAAATATCTTGAGAGTAACAATTTCATAGAGTTACAGCAGGACGGATTTCGCAGAAATCGCATGTACTACAAACGTACTGCTAGCCCGAACAAGCTGGATGCAATCTGTCTGTGGCCGAGTAAGAGTAGACCTCGCACACTCGGACAGCCTGGACCACCATATTTTCATTCTCACACCTGTAACAGTAACACGCTCGTTACCGTCACTTGGTCGGACTGCTTGTTTGAAGGACGTACAATGCTGTTTTATGTCGGGAGCAAATTTAATTATGACGTGAATAGTGGAGACCGAAAAAGGGTTATCTTGCCATTACTACCCTATCTTTGCGCAAGGGTGATGTGTTTGTTTCGATGTCTAACCTGTGAATGTTTACTTCAGACATCCAGACTTTACACTAGGACCCACTTGCCCTCTTCTCACGCAGCTTCCTTACTAATGCTACTACGGTTACTAATGTGATGACGTTGATGAAAAACCTACTATGGGCCATCGGTTGCCATACCGAACTAAAGCAGACATTGGGGCTGGACGAAACATAATGGCGAAATCAGTGAAGACGGTCAGGTTGTAAAAGATTCGAAACTGCTCACCGGTTCGATCGCTGGAGACTTTTGACTTCTCCATGTGTGAAAACCTGCATGCATTATTTAGAATAATCAGCCTGTTGAGACTGCTGTGGAGTCAGCAGTTGAAATCCACTCTATGTACCCAGAGTTCGTAGTCAGCTTCGCTTTAGTGAGACTGGTCGTCACATTATTCTTCAAGCGGAACCTCGGTCGGCGTCAGACGGATTCTTACTGTACTTCATTCATTGATGTCTACAGCATTCCAGGTGTAAAGACACCAATGTATTCAGCCTAACCATCCCAGGAATGGTATGTTAACGACTGACTACGCTGCATGACATGGTTGAATTCCAATTATCTTGCTGAAATTTGTTTTTTTCCTGGTATTTTGAAAATTGTCAGGTGTTATGCACGAGGCATTATGTTTGCGCCAATTAGTACGTCCACCATTCTAACCGTTATGTGATGCATTTCGTTTTAATTAAGGTAACCAGAAACCCACCCGTACCATGCATTCGGATGAGCGTGGCACATCACTCAGTGTATACAAGCACAGCTAGACACAGTGCTTGGGCAACTATGGAATTTTAAGTCATGTTTGATCCCACACGGACGTGACGCATGTATGGCAGGAAAACCCCGCCAGACCGCTTACTGACACGTTTAATCTCCTTCATCTGATGTATACAGAAACACACCTTCCCTTCGTGAGTCAAGAATACACTAGATCCCCTACTGGTAACAGATGAGTAAACAGAATTCCATCACACAGCATTACATCTTTTCAATCAGCTCATTTCATATTGCAATCCAAATGAGCCCCAGTGATTGCTGGTCGTAAAGCGATCAATTCCTATCAATGTACGTGTGCATCTTGTACTAACCAACTAACACAGTGGATTGTCGTGAAGCGGTCAGGAGGCGAATGTGATTACGTGAGGGGAAAGTTGGAAGGAAATTAGTCATCAAGCACAACAGTTATTCGGCATCTAACTGATTCTCTTCAGGCAAATCAGTAGTATGGTTTTCGTTGTCTCGATGTTGTGTGGCCACCCCTGGACGACGAAGGCACGAGAAACAGACGGAACTAACGGTTATATGGCATCGGGGATTTTATACATCTGCAGAGGTCAACACTATAGAATGAGAGTGAGAATCGAGGAAACAAAAGTTTTCAGAGTTGTTTAGAGAGTCGTTTGAGTTCAGAGGTGAATTCTTCTAGCCTCTAATCATCATGAAATCTTTCATAAGGATCTTGTCCTCCATAACTACTCGATATTGTTTCATCTATCTCTGCATTGTGTCGCCGTGTTTGAAAATCTGAGTACACAGTTTCACTTTATCATCCCAACTGAAAACAGCGAAAATTTGCACGCGCGGTTTAAGTCTGTTTTTTTCCCTCACCTATTGACAGTGGTCCTCTGGAACAGTGTATCAAGATGATACCAGCCTTCTTCGTCCCATGGATAGCAAAGCACGTGCAGCAACCTCGAAATTGATGTCACCAACCAGTAACAGGGTGGCAGGTGGAGTGATCAGTTATTGGTTCTGTGAAATGGACCGGAAAAACAAAGGGTATGTCAAGTCATCGGATACAGTGTCCCTCGTTCGGCACTTATGTACTCGGCTCCTTTTTGTACATTCAAATCTTAGTCAACCTACAATGGACTTTGTTATCTTGAATCACATTTGTTATATTAATTAAAAATAGCAAATATGTGTAGATAAGAAGCGCGACTGCGAAAATGTAGCTAGCAAAGCCAACAAAACACAAACTATGAAGGTTGGAGTGCCCGATAGAAGAGTATCGCTAACATCCCAACTGTTAGGCCAGACAATTGTAATCGTTTATGAGTTGCTCGTGAAGTGTCCATCCAGAAGGACGGGAACGCATTGATCCAGCTAAGTAATTCACTGAGTTTGCGTCTATACATCACTTCATTAATTGGCTACCTTAGAGTGCTCGCAACTATCACGCATTAGGGTTAGTGGTCGGTAGGTGGGGGCATAAAATTACCCTGGTGGTTCAAGTCCAGTGGGCCACCTGATCTTGCGCTAGGCACATTGCCAGACTCCAATTACTCAGCGTGAACACTGTCAACCTGGATATGAGCAGTGTTTCCCAGGCACCTGTGGTCCCGAACAAGTGTGCCGCCATGCCTCCGTTCTATACACGTGCCCTACTATGTGATGAATAATCCGGATGGTTTCAACAATTAGGAATTCCGTTCTTGATGTTCGGCATTATGTGAAAATATGTATTTGGTATTAATGGGACAGGAAAAAACAACACTGGCTTCTCGATTGAAGGTTCTGAGCAAACAACATCTGTCAGTTCTCTGAAGGAACCTAGATTCGACAGAAGCATATCCAAGGTTTGAAACTGGCTGAGCTGCTGCACAGGGACTAAAGATGATCGTGCGATTGAAGGGAAAACACTAGGGGACAAAGCGTTTTCGTTTAATATCTCTGAGTTGTGGTGCGTCCATCATCATTATCAACAGCGCTACATTGGTCCTTTTTGCTAATATCTCACTGCTATACAGCCATGGCAGGATCATGATCGGTTAATATGATGATATGTGCCCAGTACTGAGATTGATGTTGCATACACCATGCTTCTCACCGCAGTTGGGCTACACCGACTTATCATTACTCTAATTCCGCCGTAATGTGCATCCTACGACTTGTTCAGTACTATTTTTCCATCGCACATTCAGTGTCCACTTCGTACATGCTACTACGGTCTCATTCGCATACCTAACTGCGACATATTCGTAGTCCAGGGCAGTGTTAAGCTTGATCTGCACCCATTGACATGGAGCCATGCGACGATCGACAACTGTGCAACAAAACAAAGGGACTCCACCCAGTAAACTGTACGTCGCAACGGACGGCAATCTCAAAGAACGCCGGTTGGTGAGCAAGGCAAAACACAGGTACCGTTCAAGTTTGTCAATAGATTGTCTCTTACTGGGTACTTACTATTGCGCGTGCGAGTTCTCAAAACTTGACGAATATGATTGTTAGTCTTACCTCCAATCCCAACCCATGTGCGCTCGTATTATTATTGTTCATGAGGATTCATGATTTCCATGCAGTTGGTGGCACTTCATACACAAACGTTGAAAATGCATGCAAACATACGTAGTTATGCTGGATTCGAACCGCCACTGTGCAGTTGACAAGATCGAGGCTGACGAAGTGTTTGATGTGCTTTGTACTCTCAGTCGGGCTAAACTCGACTGAATGTCTGTCGGACGTGCGCTTGACACAGGAAACCTCCCGTGTGATATGTGATGCCTGGCTATGCTTGATGTGAATGTTGACAAGATACCTACCGGTCTATTACCCCCCACATCGATTATACTGGGTACAAGAGACTGTGAATTTCTGCTGGGGGACGGGGTGCACAGTCCTCATGACCATGCTAGACTCAACAAGTTGTTCCATCCAGTGTGGAACGTGTTACTGCTCAGCCGCCGTCTTGAGTACATGTGGTACGCATGATCCCCGGATTAGATAGGAATGCTGCTGATGTGTGTGTTGAACGAATGTCCCTCCCATCCACATGTCTCCCGGCCTTATTCTTTCGGATTTACACCGGATATGGGGTGTGTGGATGGAGCTGTGGGTGGTGTAGCGCAAGCCACCTATGGTCCATCTGTAGGCGCAAGCGTCCTGTCGCTGTCCTATGGAGGCCGCAGTGACAGACAAATCCGGACACGGATGCCGAATATCCAATGTGGTGATATGATGTGGCGTAAGACACACTGGGTAAATGGCAAAGTTACCAGACAAGCCCATCTGTCACACCTGTTTGTCGTCTGTTCGTTCACGTTTGCGCACACATACCTAGCCCGTGACAAAGCGTTTTTCTTGAAGTTGCTCGTGAACTTAATGCATTTTCCCCTCTCACACGTTGTATTGCGGCCTTGCTATGGCATAGCGTTCTGTGGCACCTGTGTGACTACTTGCTGACTTTGTGATCTGTGAGTACAATCACAAGTACGGGGATTTACACTTTCAAAGCGTACCTCGTAAGGACCCGGCTGTTTCCGTAATGAGCGGGTATTGTTGAGAGTTGATCGTATTGAATCGTGATATCCAGGTGGATGGTACCGTGGTTCACTTTCGGCCGTGCTTTGATTCGTCCTTGAACGTTACGCGCTGCGTCATCCCAAGCAAATTTGTCGCTTACACCCTGAAAGAACACCCAACGTCGAGGCGTCCACACCCTGTCAATCCCACACAGTGTAAAGATAAGGCGACATTGGCAAGATAACTACCTTGCGCCATAATCAAACTTTGTTGTACAGAGTACTCAACACAGGACAATTTTTGAACAGGTGGTCCGGCTAGGACACGACGCAAACGTGCCACTAGTGGCGGCTACGAGTGGTGTCATGTTGCGAGCCAAATAGGAGATGGGTCACGTGGGCCATAACCAGGAGAGTGAGACGGACCAATAACACTCAGTTTAGTTGCTGGTGATTTCGCCTTCACTGAAAGGTAAAAGACTGCCCCCCCCCTCGAGCATTACGTGACTTTTGATCCACCCACAAAACTGGACCCTCCTTGTTAAACCATGAGTGGGGATACGTGGCCTATAGGAAAGGTAACGCAATCCATTCGATAGTAATATCTGATATAAGATAATACCCAAACCAGCGCTGTAATTCTCACCTTACCGTTGCTGACGAGATGGTGTCCACCGACACAAGATTCGCACCGTAGGCGAGTACGGTCAACAATATGAAGGCACTTTTGAGCCTGGGATCAAAGTGGTAAAGTCACACTCTGGTACAGGGGGTTGTCACGGATAACAAACACGTAGCAGGTGAAAGCGAGATCCAGTCCGTCCAGCATATATGGTTCGTCGGGCAAATCGTTGTCGAACTGTGTACGCTTTAAAACTATATTCGCGCCCTTAAAATGCTAACTCAAGACTGGCACATCAAATCAAGACTTCTAAAGGATATGAAGAAGCCGCTTGAGGTGGCTGACCTAGACACGTACTTGAAGACTAGTAACACAATAATGCACGCGTAAAGTACCTTTGCACGTTTTAAATAGCTACGAGGTTAAGTTGAAGAATTTTCTCTGACTGGACAGTCAAACCAACCTCGTTGCAAGGACCAGAGAAATAGCCACGTCTTACAAACAACGAGTAACTCTTTAAGTTGCTTTGAATAGTCGAATAACACTCTTGCATTCTGTCAATGACTTCTAGCTGTTAACCCTTCCGTTGAACAACAATACGTTACTTGCACTTCTTCCTGCCGAATTTTCACCCATCCATCTTTGCACTTTCGCCCCCAGTTTCCACTGCCTTACTAAATTACCTTATCATTATCGCGACGTAAATCAAGGCAAATTAGGCACAAAGCACTTCCGGTCCGATGAAATGAGCCGAACCTTCCGCAAGGCGCAGTGAGGTCAAACCGGACTACTCTGTATCGCGGTTAGCGTAGATGCGTCACAAGCCTGCCAGTTCTATGGGTAAAGTTTGCACCTTGGTAGGTGGAATCGCACGGTGGAAAACAGCAATGAGGAAGCGATCAGAAAGACAGAGTTGTATTGGTGACTGGTGGCTCTGTCTATTAAATAACAAGTAATTCAAAAGCCTATCCAAATATTTGACGTCGTCTTCACGCTTCTACTTCACCATCTTCGCGGCGCCCGCGGTCGCAGGCAAGAAACATAGCTGACAACTGACTACAATTTAATGGTTTTAATTTGGTTGGTATTCGTGTATCGTCCGCTAGCACATCGGGGCGGTCAGAGGAACGGAGCGTTTTCGCTCCTAACCTCGTGACTATGAGAGAAGTGTCAAAAAGTACAAGACTAAAAAACGGAGTCCGTTAAAAGAGTGGTTTTCACAGAACAAGCCTGGTCGCAGTGGGCCTCGGTCAAGATTCGTCAACCCCTTGTTATCTGAGTACTCACTGTTGACATATTTGGAGACAATAACGGATTAGCAACCTAGTGGCGTAAGTCGTATTGTGGTGCGCTAAAGGCAGACACTACTGCACCAGTTACCAGTAGCGTGGAAAGACCAGGATGCGAAGCAGCAACCAGCCAATAGAAAGCCGTAATGACTCGCCAAAGGAGAACAGTTTAGAACCGCAGTTGTATGCGCGCGAGAAATGGATGCACATCACATGACTCCTAGACACCGAAGGAAACCCGCACCATGAACCTCCAACAGAGTTGGCGAACATGAGTGGATGTCTCGTTTGTCGGAACGGTTGCCCCTAGTACCAGCTATGTTTGGCACAAGGATTAATTGCGCTTGTATCTCGGGTTCTTACAGTATCGTGTGCAATACTCACATCGCTCGCATATGTTTAGGGTGTATGGAGTATTTACTATACCACATATTAACTGATGAGTCAATCGGGTCTCTCGTCTAGCTCAAAAGGGAGGAATTGAGTATGCGAGATTAGCAGGTCTTAGAACGATGCGTACTGCTAATAACTCCAGAGGATGAAGGTGCCATCGGGCGCTTCTCCATCCAAGCGTTAATTATCTGGCTGAAGCCAGTTATGATGACTAGTCACTAAAAGTCTTAAAACACCCAGAAAATGCTTCGATGCTCGTGGAGAAGATCCAGAACCAGCACATCCGTATTCTTTACTGAGGTATGGCTTCCATAAGACTACGATGATCTCCCAATTAAGTGTGAGAAGTGGGGCCTATTGTAAAACCCAGATTACTCGAGTAGGCATTCAGTCAGGGCACACTTACTTACCCAACACCACTCAATCAATGCGAAAAGATAGGGCAGGATCGTCGGGACAGTCTCCTTTTGGCTTTCACTGACGCGTCATAATCGACAGTAATTTACAGACAACTGTGAACCATATGCACTTTAAGCAGATAGCCTGCCTAGAATATGACAGGGACCGCGCTACTGATGCCGGTCGGGGACGATGCGTTGTGAAATCTCGCCACGTCCAGCGTGAGTTGCGGATGTCAACAGTATCCAGCTTAGTTGTATGGGAGAAGACCGAGTCACAGACGGGGATGGGAAGAGCGCAAAAACACCATATGGATAGCTAGCGGATGCTGTGGAGAGGCAATTTGGGAACACATTGCAGCCGCACTGTCTCCTGTGCTTATTGGCATGAGAGCCCAGATTGTTTCTGTCACTATTACCATGTGAATTAACACTGCTCCCCAGGTTGGGTTGTAACGTGCTTATATGATTTCTTTTCATTTGCAGAAGCCTTGATGAACGTGACCTGAGCCTGTTGTACCAACTACTACTTCCCTCAAACCCTTGCCTGGAGGTATTCGTGAACCGATGCAGCAATGCTGGAATGATTACGTACGATCAATGGCACAATTGCTTCGGCGTGGCGCAAGGTGAGCAACCGCAAATTCACGGTGTCTTGGAGGCAACCAACAGTCTACTATGTGACATTGAACACCGGCAAATTTACTTTGGACGCAAACGCGTCCCCCAATAGATGGACGTGTTCGATTATAGGTCGAGAATTGATAGTGCTGAAATTGAGCGATGAACTGTGTTAAAGATGGTGGTTGACGAGGTGGAAGCAAAATGGAAGTCGAGTGTACTTCGTGTACATGACTGGCACACCCTCGTCGTTAATACACCCTTATGAAGCAAAGTAAAGAACATAAGTGTATTGGCGAAGATTGCACAGACATTCCGTTAACGCGACCGATCAATTGCGGAAAAATCGGAAGAGGAACTAAAAGCCTTCGTCCTCATGGCAGTGTTCGAAAATCGGCCGAGTAGTTTTCGTTTAGGCTATCAACTGTGCATTCTTTGGTTTTATCAAGATGTTTTTGACAAATTTAGCTGAACCACTATCGAGGTGTCAGGATGGGTTTGAAACGGATTAATTCTTAAGTTCAGAACAGCTGAATGCAAAACGGCTTTGTAAAAATTTTGTTGTGATAACGCATCAGTAGTCAAGGAATGTATATACTCGCACTGGAGCTAAGATGGGCTGGAGACAACACGCAAAATTGGCGCATTGTTGGACAATATAATATGGTGAGAAACATATTCAGATGAAGCGCTGTGGAGAGCTTTGCGAAAAATGGAGGACACTGTGCCTGGGCAAGCTGCTCTTAGATGTGGTAGTGGGAAATGCGCGGTCGCCTATTGGTAAAGCTGATCACAATACAACCAAGGGAATGGTTCCATTGGAAAACTGCTAGCATCCTAACATGGAGGATGTAGCTCCTATGCTCGGTGGTAATAATCATCTCAGGTCCCGTGGCCCAGAGAAGCTCCACAATCGCATGTGTGCGCCTTCGCCCATGTCGGTGACCTTGTTACTCAAAGACCTCGATAAGCTGTCGGTTGGTTGTAGGTAAATCGAAGTTGCCAATTGGCCGCTAGGAGTTGAAGATTATTGCAGATCACTTGATGGGGACTCCACTAAAACAGATGCCCAATGGTTTACAGTAGTATAATGCACACCGGTCGATTCAACAACGGCCATAAGTATAATGAATGACTGCACTCTTTAGTGACGATTGCGTATATTCTAGGTTAGATCAATTAACATTGGATTTGTGATTGATACTGTGCTTCAGTAGGAACGCAGCAATTCGGATGCATGAACTGCATGTTCTGATTTGAAATGCTTGTACGAAAGCCAAGTATTTTCGTAAATTTCCCCTCCTCTCCACAGATGAACGGATTGAATGTGGGCGATTCAAATGAATATACAAAGAAGCTGCCTAGAAAATCTCAAAATTGCCTGATACGGAACAACCAACTGAAGAAATGAAACCCAAAAATTTGCCCAGAAAGTTCTACTTCATTTAGTATTGCGTGCTTTTGCAACACAATGTCACGTAAAAATGCAAATTTTGTGTTCAGCAGCAGATTTATTCACAAGAGAGGGGTGTGTGCATCACATACACCACGGGTTGGTGGAGAATGAGAAGAAAAACAACGATTGTATGTTTGCACTGATGCAAAAGTGGCAATCTACTCGCAGGGGCAAAATGAGAGAAGTAACGGAAAATCACGTAGAGGCGTCCGGAGAACCAGTGATACTGCAGACCAGATTGTCCTGAAGAGACTGATCGAGGGCATGACATGAACCTGGTTAAGAAACACTGAAATGGGGCTGCAATTCGAAAGCGTGATAATGAAGGGGGCGAAAGGACGGATAACCATGTCAGTCCGCGCGCTCGACGCGAGCGATCACCTTTCCGTCCCACAGTGGTAGGATGGAGTCGTCATGTACGATTTCCTCGTGTACCACACCAGAACCAAATTCGTCGCTCTCCTTCTTGAAGAAGTACCTGTGATATGAATGGCAAAGGGGAGATCGTTTGCAAGAGAGTCGAACATGGATGTGTGTATCAAATGTGTAAAAATTCCACAGTGAACTAATTTGGACGACGAAAGGGGAAAAGCGTGTGTGTGTAGATAAACAACAGATGCGGGATTTGATTATGAACGCACGCAGAGGTATCCTCTTTATCAGCGCCAGCACCATATAGCATCGCGTTGGTGTCGATTAATACAGACAAATTCCTGGGGGACCATGTAGGTCTGTGAGCCATAATGAGAGAGGTTGGTTGAGTTAAATCTAGCGTGCTGCGACGTGAGGAGCTTGTTGAAAAAAACGCAGCACAACAAGGCGAATATCTTACAACTAGTGCGAAAGCATTACTACTGCAAAAGCAAACCAACCCAATCTATTGTTTACAAATAGGGCAGTGGTTATTTGTCAGGTAACTGTTTGCGACCTTTCATGTTAAGCGAGTTAGAGGTTAGCAATGGAGGCCAAAGCTTAACTTTCCAGCCGATGAATAAGAGTAAAAACTAACTACAGTTTCGTCAACTTTCAATTGATGGTCCGGAACATTTCTTTAGTCAAGAATAAGTGGGACGTTGACAGTCAAATGAACTCCTTTCACAATCAAAATATAGGCTCTACGTGCTTTGTTGCAACCGAGTGACAGTGAACAGAGCTGTCACACAAGAGACCAGCTCGTACACAACATACCGGAACGTACTCAAAACAGAGCCTGAATACGTTTCCAGAGGCATTGAAGTAACAGTTGGTACAGAGAAAATTATGGTGTGGAATGCAGCAAACACGGCATTTCATAGACAGTTTCGTATATGTGTGGACTATTCTGGTAGAAAGAGACGAGGCTGAAAAATGAACTAAGGACATTTTATTTTTGGTTTGGTGTGTATCTAATCACTAGGCAACGGTGATCCGCGGGTGGCGCTTAGCACAGCGTTGGCAAAGTTTTTGAGTAACACTTGGTTATCAAGACAAAATTATGGTCAAATTCAAGTGAACTGTGATATTTAACGGTAAACGCCGAGGGGAATCGTAACCACACAAATCCCAGTCAGAAGGCAAGTGTGATTGCACGCCGAGATAACACTAAGTTATAAAGTCCGGGTGATTTGTCAAGCATTGAGTGGACATATGTAAGATCCCGGCAGTAATGTTTGTGTTAATGCTCAATAGCAAGCTCGGATTCATTTATCGACGCCCATTAGATCCGTCGGAGATGATTGATAGATTTGCATAGAATCAGCATTTAGCGATATCCACCGCCTCAGTAGTTAGACTTTGCAGCGTTGCTCACAAGTTCCTCCCAAATGAAAGCGAAGCTGCCTCCGAAGCGCTTGTAGTGCTTCGTATTCTGATTCGTTTCTCGGCGGCTTCCTCCTGTTCAAAGCGTTTCCAGTGTCTCACAAGAATCCTTCCTTATAGGAAATATCCCCCTTTCAACAACCACTTCGTGACAGGTCTTGGATGTGAACTAGAGCTCCAATAATCGCTTGATATATTCGCAAGCTATTGGCTTACTTAGTGACTATGTTCAGGTGTGTCTCAAGTCAAATCAAAATAAGCTTTATGAACCCTATTGGGTTCGTCTTCAGCGCAGCGGCCCTCGCCCCTTGAGCAATCAACGCTGTAACGGAACACAGCTATGCCTGCAATTCTAAAACATACGAGTCATGTTAGAGTTCCTATGTTTCTGTGACTCGGACCATAGTCAAGGAACAGTGGAGTACTGGCACATGATTCAAATCCCACAAAGAGCTATGTCGCATCATGATCAATAGAACCTGCCAACACCACATTGTCGAAACATCTTGTATACAAATCTGTCACGAATACAGGGAATATTTACGACCTCATGACAAGGAGGGACACGAAAACACATATTTTCCATGGAGACATGAGGAAGGATATATCACGAAGCACCGTCACCTCCAATGATAGTTTTCCCCCCGTTCGATGAGTCGAGGTGTATCGTGCCTAAATGAGCAATGTTCGCTTTGCCTGACCTCCTTTGTTGGTGAAAGTCACTAAACAGTGATCTAATATCGAAACAGGTTATTATAATTCATCCGGCTGCGTGGTTAGACCAGCCAACTTTCGTGTAAGGTTATGAAAATTTGTTGTCAAAACTCTTAATCTCCCAGCTAAAATATGCAACAGTCGCGCCGGACATTTTGTGAGTTCGTGCGCCGGGGGTGGGTGAGACTGATCGATAAAAACTGCATCATGTTGTGTAAGCATAATTGGTTTAAGGATCGCTGTAGCTGCACTCAGCCACCTGGAAAAGC